CAGGACCACACGTGTTAATAAAATAGTTTAGCATCTACAAACTATCCTTTTCAATTTCTCCATGTGGTTCATTTCATAAATCAGATGTAGAGTTAGGCTGATGAACTTCCGGCTCATAATAGAAACATGGTATCCCTGGGAGAAGGGAGGAGCATACTAACACTTGCACGGTGAACATTTACTTGCAAGAACAATGTTAGTTGCTTGGTATACACTATCCCTATGCGATGTTGGTTTATCGTAAGTGTATATTTGGTCCTTCAAAACAACTGGACCGCAACATATCCGACAAGGCGATAAATTAGATAAATACACTTTCAAGTTCCGCAAAATAATAATTGTTCTGTTACGTTAAATATTAAAAGGCTTCCGTACCATCTTCCATATAGCACCCTGTCAAAAGTGTGAATATCTAAATTTCTGTAATAAATAAGTCCTAACTGCATTTTAGTAAAGGACTAGGAGCAAGATCAGCCGTGGCAAGCCTGCATTATTGCCGTTCCATAATAAACAAAAAAATAACCAATCTGACCGGCAGAATTGTTTTTCTTTGGGTTTTGAAAGACGGATATACCTCGAAGGACAATTCCTTATACCAAACCAGAGGAACCGAACAAGATGATTTTAGCTTTAAGCCTGTTGGCATTCACACTGTCATCAGAAGTAGTATAGTGACACTGACCACATTCGGAACGAATGTGTGAAGAGCAAAAAGCAGTTCTAATAGGTGATCACTTGGTACTTCACTACGCAGCATACCACTGTGAAACGATCATCGAAGATAGAATTTTATATCGGGATCACTTTAGTGAGGATTTATTATCGGTTCTTCATAAAATGACTAACTTATTAGTAAACGGGGCTCAAGGAAACCATTCAGAAATTATTCACACTACTCAGTTAAATTTCATGTAGTAAATTCATCACTTGATGATAAATACCCTGCTGACCTGTTGTGGCATACTTCTTGAAAATTGAATCAGTAACTGATTTGGACTGACCAGCCTTCAGGCTTCATAATAACACACAACTGCGAGTTTATCTGTGATCAACCATTTTACTCAGGACTCGAACCTCACCCCCCCCTCCCTCCCTTCCCCCGGAGCTGATCAATATCCATCGTGCACCGTTCGGGGTTTAGACCTATTGAATGGAAGTCGTGTGCGTTACTGTTTGGGTTAACTAGCTCACATTGGGTTAGACCGGAACAAACTGTTATCACATTCAGTGATTTTCAGCCAGTTCAGGGAGTCCGAAAGGAACGAAATGACACACTGCTGGCTATCGGTTGACACCATTCTTTTCTATCACATCCGCACCTCTATGCTTGTTCGGGCAATCTTGCTGCAGCTGAATCAAATATGCCACTCAGATGAAATTGGTTTCGACTGA